CTTGAATAAGCTAGAAACAAGATGCCAGGTATTCTTAATTATGTTTAATATGATCAATGAAGGGAAGACTGGCTTGAATAAGCTAGAAACAAGATGCCAGGTATTCTTAATTATGTTTAATATGATCAATGAAGGGAAGACTGGCTTGAATAAGCTAGAAACAAGATGCCAGGTATTCTTAACCAAGTTTAATATGATCAATGAAGGGAAGACTGACTTGAATAAACCAGAAACAAGATGACTTGAATAAGCTAGAAACAAGATGCCAGATATTCTTAATTATGTTTAATATGATCAATGAAGGGAAGACTGGCTTGAATAAGCTAGAAACAAGATGCCAGGTATTCTTAATTATGTTTAATATGATCAATGAAGGGAAGACTGGCTTGAATAAGCCAGAAACAAGATGCTAGATATTCTTAATTATGTTTAATATGATCAATGAAGAGAAGACTGGCTTGAATAAGCCAGAAACAAGATGCCAGATATTCTTAACCAAGTTTAATATGATGCATGAAGTCTAAACTAACATCACTAAGCTAGAAACCAGATGCCAGTACAATATAACATAACTACATAAATGAAACGTCAACACCTAGATAGGTAACTAGATGTATATAACGCACAAAACCTACATAGTAATAACAAATGTAAATATAACCTCCACAGCTAAACACATTACACAAAAAAGACCACATTCTAACAAATATAACCTCCACAGCTAGACAAATTACACAAAGACCACATTCTAACAAATATAACCTCCACAGCTAGACAAATTACACAAAGAAGACCACATTCTAACAAATATAACCTCCACAGCTAGACATACTACACAAAGACCACATTCTAACAAATATAACCTCCACAGCTAGACAAATTACACAAAGAAGACCACATTCTAACAAATATAACCTCCACAGCTAGACAAATTACACAAAGAAGACCACATTCTAACAAATATAACCTCCACAGCTAGACAAATTACACAAAGAAGACCACATTCTAACAAATATAACCTCCACAGCTAGACAAATTACACAAAGAAGACCACATTCTAACAAATATAACCTCCACAGTTAGACACAAAGAAAATCTCAATCTAACAAATCTGTTGGATATACACGACCATTGCAGTTTAAATTTAATGCGAGCATCATGATTTAGATAGTTTATATAGTGGAAGAAGAATATCAACAGAAGAGAAAAGAGGAAAAACTAGAAAGACTGATAAAAAAAAAGAATTAGAGCTTGAAACACAAGCCAAAAAAGAGAAAGAAGAGAGAGTAAAAACTGGAAATAGAGAATAAGAGCACAAACTGAGATCTCAAAGCTCACCCAACTGAAAGACAGAGGACCAAAGAATGACAATGGGGTCAGGGCCAGTTGACCCAAGCTACGTAAATTCAAGGTACAGAAAGACCATATGGATGTTTTCCTGGAAAGGTACTAAGATTTGCCGAAAGTCAGAACTGGAACAAAGATGACTAGGCAGTCAGTCTCAGCTCCCTTTGCACAGGAAAAGGCTTAACAGGCATGTCATCAGGAGATACCATAGCCTATGACAAGTTAAATGTGGCCTTGCTGAAACACTATGAACTTCCCGAGAAAGGTTTTCACTGGAAGTTCAGAGAAGTCAAACTTGATACTGGAGAAACTGTATTTCAGTTTATGGCACATCTACGAAATACTTCACAAGATGGACTGAAATGGCCAAGTGTGAAAACAGTTTTGAAGGAATAGCAGATCTCTTAATACGTGAACATTTCATGATCATGTCACTGTTCCTAAAGGAGAGAGCACCAAAAGATGTGGACAAGATGACCAAGCTGGCAGAACAATATATGGAAACACATGGAGGGAGTATAACTGGCAAATCCAAGAATATCCAGTCAAAGTCGAAACCAGTGTTGGCTGATCAGAAGCAAGATACCCCTAAAGGCGACAGAAGGTCAACAGACAAAAGGGATAAAATGAGGCACATTGAGAGTGAAAGCACATCTGTCACCAACAAGCAGCACAATACTGGTGTTGGCAAGAAAAAAATGAAAGCATGGGTGCTGCTGCCAGAAGAAACAGAATAAAGACGACAACATGTCAGATTCACCACAAGAAGAAAGTGCCATCGCCAATATTAACCTTATGGTTACAGAGTTGAACCCATTTAGCTACTTTTTGTATGGAGAATGATACACAGTTCAACAATAACTCTGTACTTTCTGAAGATATCTTCACAAGAATTGGTAAGATTTTGTAAAGATTACATGTACTTTATACAGAAAGAACAAAATTGTTTTAATCAAGTATTTTAACTAAAGATACGTTATTTTTGTATTGTAGTTAGTTGCACTCAGAATCTGAAATGTAGCCTCTAGTGCTAGATATATTACACAAAGGAAACTACATTGTAACAAATGTAGCCTCTAGTGCTAGATATATTACCCAAAGGAAATCACATTCTAACAAATGTAGCCTCTAGTGCTAGATATATTACACAAAATAAAATCACATTTTATCAAATGTAAGGTCTAGAGCTTAACACATTACACAAAGAAAACCTCATTCTAACAAATATAACAATTACAGACATATATTACACAAAAATGCCTTAAATCATACACTTAGAAGTTATCTCTGAAGTTATTGAAACATCCATTGTACCATACTTCAAAGTGTCTTTCATTGAAGTTTACATTTGTTGCATACAATTTTCACTCAAGAATAAAAATTATGTTTTCATACTGAAAGAGCTACTTCATGTGTTGCTCACCTTTACTCAAGTTAGGTTTCATTTAGTTTGTTTGATAAAACAAAATTCTAATAAGAAACAGTTGTTAACTTTTCAAATCTACTTAATTTGTAATTTTTGTTTATAATGGTTGATATGCAGCACTTAAAAATTCTGTTTTACCTATCAACATTGAATAAGGAAATTTAAAAATGAAGTTAATTTTCCTCTCGCATGTACATTACGCTTCATGATATGTGATGACAAACAGAAAAGTGTGAACAAAAATATGTATGCCCTCTAACTCTTTGAATAAGTATATAACATGCAGAATTACTTCTGCGAGAAACTTAAAAAAAAGAAGTGTTATTATTTATATTTTTTTGTTTTGTAGCTAAAGCAAACACAAAAAAAAAGTTATAAAAAGTACTGAACATGGCTTCATTTTAACCAAAAAAACATTCAATGCTTGTAGAACAAACCATAAGCTTAATTATGTTTCATTCAGGTGAGAAAACTCAAATATTTTCTACATGATGATAAACCCATATCTGCGATACTGTCAGTAAAACAAGCTGAAAAACTAAGAAATACCAAAAACTTGCAGTTGGTTTAATTGATAATTTGAAAGGAACAAGTTTAATAATTTTAGTTTGACGGCTGATACAACATGGGTTGAAATTTCAAGCACTACAGAGGGTTACACAAACCACTCCTTTCCCCAAAGAAGTCCTTTGTGCATTCATTATGTAAAAAGGCATCATATAAGGAACTCTAAATATTGATTCATAAAATTAAAATAGTAAGACTAGAATTCCTTATGACTACACCTATCTTCATTATTGGACTCTCTATTAAATACTGAAAATAAAAACCTCCTACTAATCTGAAGTCAGAAAGAATCAATAATACGTTCCACCTTACCAGGGTTGGACCAACATCTTCTAAAAATACTTTGCATTCTAGAGAAAAAAGCTTCAACTTGATTATTCAAACTACTGAACACATAAGGAGTGCTCATAAAGCCTATTCCCTACACGAAAACTGGACAGTTCCAGGTCAAAATGATGAATTTTGTGTGGCAGAAAAAAATCATTCAAAAAACACCCCAAAGACTAAGTTTCCACTCACCATCGGTTTCTCACGGTGAGTGTCAACAGCATCGATTGCCAGCTTAAAAAGTTTCATTTCACATCCGTAAGCCACAGGTGTCAGCTTGATGACAGTGTGTAATGGTACTCGTAGGTAGGGAAGCTCCTCTATGGAAAATAAGTGACACAAAAGTTTAGCAACATGTTGAAAAACTATCTTTGTTACCAGTGGGCAGATGCAGTTGTCAACATCTGGCTGTGTCAGTTGGCTAAATAACAGATAAATATTTGATTTTCCTCGGAGAATGATTAAATAATTGGGCCATAAGAAACAAATACCCAAATCATATCCAGTATCATTACATTTATTACTGAAGTTGTGATTATAAGAAAAAAAAGATGCTTATGTTTCAAGTTATAAATAACATACTGCAATTTGAAAATATAAAAATGACTATTAACATCTTCAGAAGCTTTACTGTGAATGAGGGAAAGAAACATTAAATGTTTTTAAACCTTGCTGATGTTTCTTGGACCATACAATATATTAATCAGTATGTGATCATATTTTTACAGTATTAGATAATACTTGACCATTTGCTTTCCAGTCAAACGGTTAACCCTAATTCAAAGACAACATGTTTCCAACAGGAATTTCAAGCTATTGCAGTGTTTTGTTACATTAGAAAAACAAACTATAGTACATCAAAGAAATGTAAAACGATATTATCAATGAGTCTTTATAGCCTATGTTTAGTATAAAGATCTCAGTCTTATAGGCAAGGTAAAAAACATATGGAGATCTACAATAATATAGTAAACTTTATTTCTCATTAAACTCTAATAATCTTACAGTGCAATCCAGAGAATAAAGACTCAGCCATTTACATAAATTTCTATGACATCTGCTGATGCAATACTAACACATTATGCTGAACAAAGCTTCCAGAATTATCTTTTCCAATGCACAAGTCCATTCATCCAACATTCTAAGCACTGTAACATCTACACTTCAAGAACAAAAAAATTTAATTTCAGCTCTATGTTAAAACCTAAGGCTTCTAATATCCTTGACTAACTTGTATATATAAAACTTACTAAATCAGTTTATAAAATTATTGGAAATTACAGTTCGCACGAGCTAGAACTTGTAGCTGAAAATATTGTCAATAACGAGGAAACTCAGCTAATGATTCAATACAGCCTAATCATCGTATATATTTCAGTTTTCTGATGTATTGTTAAATTTTCTAGTTAGTTTCTTATATCAAATAGTCTTCAGTAATTTTATGCTAACCATCACTGATGGGTATACATATGGATTCCACTGGTAACTTTTATGTTATATTACCATATATTATTATGTGATGTCATTACTGATGGAGTCAATATGGATCTCCATCAGTAGCTTTTATGTTACGTTAACTATACCATTACTGAAGGAGATGCATATGAACTCCATTGAAAGCTTTTATGTTATGTTAACCAACAATTCCTTACAGGGATCCACATGGACTCTATAGGCTTTTAGAACATGGTTTTGTAAACTATTTATGCATTAAATTACATGTGGATCTACAACTTTGTTGGTTACAGGGTGACACAAAAATGTAAACAAAAGTAATTCAATATTGAAATTAATCATACCATGTACTTTTCATAGAAAATTTACAGTTTCACCTAGTACATTTTTGGTTAGTTCTTGACACAGTTTTAAGAATGTCTGTTATATTCTTGCTGTTTTGTATTGGTAATTTTAAGGATTTTTGGGTTATTTTCTGCCATTTGTATTAATAATTTTAAGAATGTCTTTTTTTTTTTTTGCTGTTTTGTACTGTATTTTTAAGGATGTCTTATTCTCTGGAGGTTTTGTACTGGTAATTTTAAGGATGTCTGTTATGCTATGGCTGTAAATTTAATAATGTTTGTGTCATCTCTCTGGGACCTTAAAGTCTTTATAGATTTAATACTTCTATCTTTCAATAAAGTGTGCACATCTTCACAAAATTTGCCAGTCTTTCAGTTAACAATACAAGCCTTTCACATACAAAAATTTTTATTTTTTAGTGAAGTATTTTTGATAAACTAAAATAAGGATTTGTCCATGAATATATTGAGTGTTTGTTTTCAATAGTCCATGTGCAAAGTGATTTTTATGTTCAGATTAAAAATATTTTCTTTATCTCAAAAATCTCAACTTTCATTTGTGTAATCTCTAAAACCTCCTAAACACATTTCAAATGTTTGTTTTTAATAAAACTATATTTTGTTTGTTATTTTCTCTACCCTAACTGTACAAGGTTGGTCAATTTGACTGACCTTGTACCCCCCCCCCCAAAAAGGAAATAAATCTAAATTATCCTATTTTTCTTTCTAGAATGACTTTAAATGTAGGATGAAACTACATTAGTTTATCCTAAGTATCTTTAAACTCTTAACAGTATACATATATATTTATAATTAAATTTTACTGTTTACTGCCCTTTGAACGATGTCTAACAACTATCCACAACAATGTAAGTTGTAAATCACTCGGGGAACGTTCAGCTCATGTTACACTATCAAACTGCATTACCCACAAGCTGCTCGCATGCATACCTTGTGAAACAGTATTATTATTATTTTTTTACCTAATCTAATCTTAACTAACCTATAAAGATACCTATTTTTACATTTTAGTTACTTTTATAATAATAAATAAATAATAAACATGAAAAACAAGAAATAAAGTACTTACCCAATCTTTTTTTTCTTGCTGTCGATTGTCGATGACACTTAACCCTACTTTTTTATACTAATAGTAGTAATTCACTAAATATTTTTATTTAATTAAATAATGCACCAAAGAACATAGACTAATAACATAGAAAAAGTAGACAATTTCCCCTAACTCCCACACTTTTTCTGGCTTTCTAACTATGCAACAAGAGCCCTTACAAATTCATTCAACCTAGTCATTAACTTTCCCACATGAATAAACTGTGTATTATAAGTGAACTTGACACTTATCTATTCAGAACACAACATTATACAATAAGTCATCTGATAGATGAAAACCTTTGCTTTCTATTGGTTATAGGTAATATATAATTAAACGTAAGAGAGAACTATTAACAAATCCTGAAACAGAGGATGTGACAGGAGGGGTCTGATTTTTTATTTGATAGCTTTGTAACTAAACAAAATTGAAGGCTATAAAAATTATGATATGTCTGAATTATGATGATTTTATAGTTAGAAATGTAAGTTTAATTTCGTACTTGTTTGAGGGGTGGTGGATAAAACATAGAAAAGAAGATGCCTGGATAAAATGTGTCACACTACACTAGAGGAAATTAAGGATTTTTTTTAATGTTGCCTTATAAAAATAAGAGCTTAAAACTTATATACTATTAAAATATGGATTATTAGCTAAGATTTTATGCTATTACTAATTGGTAGAGCATAAACAAAAAGTTTAAAAACATTTTGAATATAAGACCCAAAAACCTTGTGTCATGTGCAGTGAAGGATATCGGTGGCAATAGGATTATTCTCTGGCTGTTGGGTATTGGTAATTTTAAGTATATTTCCATTATTCTATGACTATTAGGTATTGATAATTTTAAGTGTATTTCCATTATTCTCTGGCTGTTGGGTATTGATAATTTTAAGTATGTCTGCATTATTCTCTGGCTGTTGGGTATTGCTAATTTTAAGTATATTTCCATTATTCTCTGGCTGTTGGGTATTGATAATTTTAAGTATGTCTGCATTATTCTATGAATATTTTGTATTGATAATTTTAAGTATATACCATTATTCTCCGACTGTTTTGTATTGCTAATTCTAAGTATATTTCCATTATTCTCCGACTGTTTTGTATTGCTAATTCTAAGTATATTTCCATTATTCTCCGACTGTTTTGTATTGGTAATTTTAAGTATATTTCCATTATTCTCCGACTGTTTTGTATTGGTAATTCTAAGTATATTTCCATTATTCTCCGACTGTTTTGTATTGGTAATTCTAAGTATATTTCCATTATTCTCCGACTGTTTTGTATTGGTAATTTTAAAGAATGTCTGCATTATTCTCTGGCTACTTTGTATTGATAATATAAAGGATGTGTATTCTGTAGAGGTTTTATATTGATAATTTTGAGGATGTTTGTTATTCTCTAGCTGTTTTTTATTGGTAATTAAGGATGTCTGTTATTCTCTGGCTATAATGTGAAAGAATATTTGTGCAATTCTCTGGCTGTTTTATAATCATAAGTTTAAGGATATATGTATTATTCTTTGGCTATTTTTTATTGGTAATTATAAGGATGTCTGTTATTCTCTGGCTGTTTTGTAATCATAAGTTTAAGGATATATGTATTATTCTTTGGCTGTTTTTTATTGGTAATTTTAAGGATGTCTGTTATTCTATGGCTATTTGGTATTGAGAATTTTAAGGATGCCTGTTATTCTCCGACTATTTTGTATTGACAATTTTAAGGATACTTCTGTCATTCTCTGGCTGTTTTGTATTGGTAATTTTAAGGATATTTCTTGTATTCTTTGGCTGTTTTGTATTCAAAATATGTTATTCTCTGGCTGTTTCGTATTGGTATTTTTAAGGATATTTCTTGTATTCTTTGGCTGTTTTGTATTCAAAATATGTTATTCTCTGGCTGTTTCGTATTGGTAATTTTGAGCTTGTTAGTGTTATTCTGTATCTGTTTTGTATTGATAATTTTAAGGATGTCCAATATTTTTTGGCTGTTTGATATCGGTAATTTTAGGGATGTCTGGTATTCTTTGGCTGTTTTGTATCGATAATTTTAAGTTGTTTTTTTTTGCGTAGCTGTTTGTCTTGGTAAATTTAAGGATGTCTGGTATTCTTTGGGTGTTTTGTTTTGTTAATTTTATGGATGCCTGCATTATTCTCCGGCTGTTTTGTATTGCTAATTTTAAGTATGCCTGCTTTATTCTCCGGCTGTTTTGTATTGCTAATTTTAAGTATGTCTGCATTATTCTTCAGCTGTTTTGTATTGCTAATTTTAAGTATGCCTGCTTTATTCTCCGGCTGTTTTGTATTGCTAATTTTAAGTATGTCTGCTTTATTCTTCAGCTGTTTTGTATTGCTAATTTTAAGTATGTCTGCATTAATCTCTAGCTGTTTTGTTTTGGTAATTATAAGGATGCCTGTTGTGCTCTGGCTGTAATTTTAAAGCATGTTTGTGTTACCCTCTTGCTGTTTTGTATTGATAATTTTAAGGATATTTGGGTTATGCTCTTCTGTATTGGTAAGTATAGGGATGTCTGGTATTCTTGGGCTGTTTTGTTTTGGTAATTTTAAGGATGTCTATTATTTTCTGGTTGTTTTGTTTTGATAATTTTAAGGATGTCTATTATTCTCTGGTTGTTTTGTTTTGGTAATTTTAAGGATGTCTATTATTCTCTGGTTGTTTTGTATTGGTAATTTTAAGGATGTCTATTATTCTGTATTTATTTTGTATTGGTAGTTTTAAGGATGTCTGTTATTCTCTGGCTGTTTGGTATTGATAACTTAAAGAATGTGTTGTTTTCTTGCTGTTTTGTATTGGTAATTTTTAGGCTGTTTGGTTTGTATAAATAATTTTCACGATGTCTGCATTATTCTCTGGCTGTTTTGTATTGCTAATTTTAAGGATGTGTGTTATTCTCTAACTTTACATGTTTATTAAGGTCATGGTTCAGCTGGTTCATATAGATTCAAGTGAAAACTCAAGATCATTAGTTTTAAACATAAAATTGTGTAGAATGGATTGAAGAGAACAGAAAGAAGGATGTGGTTGCCATGAGTACCGTTACTGCTAGCCTTTCTATAAATTTATTTCCATAATATTCAATATTTATGTAATTTTTACATACTTAATCTGTCTGTAATAGTTCAGTGTAGACCATTATAAACCTTTTCTTATGGTGAAAACTAGCGGAAAGTAACCTTCACATGTTGCTAACCTAACTTTCCCACAAGAATACAAAGTGGCCATTTTGTAGTCTAGTGATTAACTGGAGAAAGTTAGAGAAGAATCATTTCTTTGTTCTGTAACTAGACGTGTGTGTTAGAATCATTGTATTTGAATTAGTCTTGTTCTGGTTGTTACACAATTTGTCATCAAGCAGTAAAATTGAGTTAATCTGCTGTTAACTGAAACAGAATAGTAAGTTAAATACAAAGTGGAATTTAAAGCCCAACGATGTTTTTTTTTTCTTTATCATATTGCAACACCTAACTGTTTTTTTCTTTACATCTTAATATTCATTCCCTACACTAAAGTGATTCATACATCACTCCTCAAACATTACTGACTTACTAATACCTCAATCCTAGAATTCCTCTGGTTAATGCTACTGTGATTTATCTATCTGCATGTAACACTTTTTACTTAGGAATATCATACTACAAGTTGAAAGACAATAGAAATGTGTTTTTCTGCTTCTCCTGCAACTTTTGAATGAAAAGTCAGCTGAACAAAAGTCATTCATCACTATTTTTTTATAATAACTTAAATTGAAATAATAAAAAATTTGTATTTTTAGATTCAAGTAACTACAATATAAGAAAATGCATAAATTAGATGCAAATAATTTAAATTTACAAGTTCCCTAATTTTATATTTTAAAAACAGTAAAAATCTAAGAATTAGAAAACTTCAGGTCAAAGTAAAATCTTGTACTCTAGTACACAAACAATTATAAAACCATGAATATCACTGTATAAGAACATTAATATGCAAGTTTAAATAGGTTCACATCAAGACTTGCATTGTCACTGAGCCAAAAAATAAGTTAAGAACTATAATTATTTACACTTCTATAGGACTAAATTTTAAAGCTGTGTTATAAGAAATACATATAATACATTCAAGAACTAAGGTAAACATCAGTTTGAAACACTTGTTAGAAAGGATTCACAGAAATTAAAAGTAGACACTCGTATTTCACTCATAAAAAATGGTAATTAAAACAGTTCTGACTCGAACCAGAGAATCCATTTTGTTTGGTTCACATCTAGAAAAAAATTAGGTTGGTTTATATGTGTGGAAGAACAAACTTAACTGTTGTGAATGTGATGGGGACATATGAAAAACTCACTATATTTGTACACCTACACATATGTGTGCTTAATTGCTGAACAACAGAGGGCAGAATAATACCAGCTCTTTAATGAAGGGTTCTCAGTTTTCTTGTCCGATACTATAAAAAATTGAACTGTCATTAACATATACTTGTTTAGCAAAACATGCAATAGGGGGAGACAGTTCTTCACATGAAATTTGTGTTTTTTTACATCTCTGCTTAGAGTCTTGAGTACAAAAAAGATAAAAACATAAACATTTTTATCTATCAAAACAGAAAGCTTTAACAGTTACCATACATAAAACATACAAGTTATAAAACACAGGTGCTTGGTTAGACAAAATGCTTATCTTTCAATTTTCTTTAATAAGGTTTAAATGACAGTTTTGCAGTAACATAATCTAATGTTTACCTCAATTTGTACGTACAGGAGTGACAGTTTTGCAGTTACATAAGCTTATGTTTACCTCAATTTGTACGTACAGCAGTGACAGTTTTGCAGTTACATAAGCTTATGTTTACCTCAATCTGTACGTACAGTAGTGACAGTTTTGCAGTTACATAAGCTTATGTTTACCTCAATCTGTACGTACAGTAGTGACAGTTTTGCAGTAACATAAGCTTATGTTTACCTCAATCTGTACGTACAGTAGTGACAGTTTTGCAGTTACATAAGCTTATGTTTACCTCAATCTGTACGTACAGTAGTGACAGTTTTGCAGTTACATAAGCTTATGTTTACCTCAATCTGTACATTCAGCAGTGCAACGAAAACACAAAGAAAAAATTATGAAAAATTTGTTACACAACTATGGCCATTTCCCAATATGTTGGGTAATAAGCTAAATAGGCCTTGCTGAACTAGCGTAATGGAATATTAAATGTTGACGGGAAACACACTTAGCTTCTATAAATTTCATTTGCTGTAGTAAAAAGTTTTACAGATTTTCTGGAACTTAAATATTTCATGTAATCATCATAATAATGTGGTATATTACTCAACAGTTAGTTTAATCAAAGTAAAATGACATCAAACATACTGAATAACAAGTAATAACAACTGAAAGTGATACATTTTGTCTCTTAGTGTTTAGAACTAAGAATTGTCATTTGTGAAGAATTCATCTAGTGAAAAACTTGTTCACTAATCGAATATTAATGTTACATTGAAATCATGCATAATTCTACTTAACATATTTTGTCCACATATATAAACCACACACACATTGAATATAAAATAAACAACTCAAGAACATAGACTTACCACAGATAGTAACAGTTGACAATTATAGCCCAAAGTAAAAGGAACTTCTTAAGGTTAGGACTTTCTTTTCTCCTTAATTTATATATTTTAGTTCTTTTCCTTAACATTTAATTCATATTTTCATGTTTAGCAACCATAAGTTCTAGTGTTTATGAGAGAATTGGTCCACATATACAACTGTTTTGTTGATGTTTATATTCCATACAAACACTCTTGAAGTATAGTTAAGAATAGTCCACACAAAAAATTGCATTAAGATGACAATTTACCACTAGAAAAGCATTTTTCTCAATTGGCAAAAGAAAGAAACTAAACTAAAAACATGCATTGATATTTTTTAATTTGGTTTTAGACAGATGTCTTATTATAACTTGCTGGCCTTTAGTTCTACAGTTAATGATTTTCTGTCTTTTATATTTTAATCCTCTAACATTAATTTAATCTTTTTACTAGATTGCTTAAAATTTTCTGTGAATCTTAATATAAATCTTGTGAACTCGTGAAAAATACTGGTACTTAATAAAAACAGATTGAAGAACTGGCCATGAAACTAACATTCATCCAATCCTTGGTAGTCATCATCATTATTAATTAATAAAATCTTATTTTCAGGTTGAATATGTTTTTCACATACATTGTTCGTCTCCAAGTTTTACAAGAACTGATCTCAATCAATTACAACTGTACTTCAAGCCCTGAACTCTACTAGAAAAGAGTAAAAGGCATGCGACTTGCATATATGAAATCTACAGTACAAGGTGATCATCCACAGCATCTATGGGTATTAACGTCTTCCCGACGTCACATCCAGAGGTGGTGAATGTTAGCTTGAAGATGTAGTGAAGAGGCACCTTGATGTAAGGGATTTCTGTCACTTGGAAAACAACAAGTTTGTTTTATAAAACTCACAAACAACTAATTAAAGACTTGCGCTGATATTCCTATCATTGCCAAATGATAGTACTTATATGTATGGTGTTTTTAGCTGTCACTAATCACAGTGGACCTATATTTATATATGGTTTGAAGAATATGTAGAAACGAATCTACTAATTTATTATTCTAAACTATTTATCTGATAAGCTGTTTAAGATACTAAAAATAACTATGAAGCTTGATCTATCATTTTATTTATCACTTGTCACTGAGTTATACTGGTTAGAGGGAATTCCATCAGTAAATCTAGATAACAACAACTGTAAAAAAGAAAGAGAGACAAGGCTTTTTATAGTGGTGAAATTCTTCAAAACTAGTATAACTCAGTGACAAAGACTGAATCAAATTAGACTGGGCTTCACATTTATTTGAAGGATAGTAATATTTCTCTAGCCATACACAACTACAAATTAAAATTTGTATAATTATTATATAATTCTTCAAACTACTAAACTAGAAATAAAGTAACTAAAAACAAGTTTTATAAACTTTGTAAACAAGTGAAATACTTAGAAGGAATAACTATACCTGAATTTTTATCCATAAAATATGCCAGGAGACATCGCAACACAGCTTGATGAGCCACAACTAAAACATTTTCTTGACGTTCAAGTTCCTAGAAAATAAATACACAAAATCATTAAACTCCACACAACAAACATTAGGTAAGTATTTTCACAGATACAAATTTTAAAAGAAAAATAGCTTTGAAGAGATAAAATTATTTCTACCTTACATGAAAACTAAAAGGTTCAATCAATTGAAGCATAGACACCAAAAAAAATGGGTATGTTGTCCCCCAACATTGTCCAGTTAGTCTACATACACTATTATTAACAATTATGTTAGATTAACTTTGCTTTTCTTTTGTCCTCTCACTTTCCAACAAAGTTTGGCAGTCATATCTTGAAGTACAGGCATAGAAGGTAAACCTAAACAAACACGGATTAAACATATTTTATTAAAGTTCTAAATAATACATTAAATATTAATTTTTGCTATCAACCGCAAGAACAGAATGGGGATGTCCAAATCATACATAACAAATCCATTAGTCCTTACCATAATTACTGGTTCAAGTCTGGCCACCAAATCTTCATAAGACTGTAAAAATAAAGTACAAATGTGCTATACATTTCTCTTAGTTAAGAATAATGTAAAATAAGTATAGTGTTTTAGCTGTCCTTTAATCGTCAGAAATAAATTATATTTATGTATTTATCTGAAGAATACATAATTATTAATTTATTAATCTCAATGCTTCACACAGACATTTTTCATAAAATAAATGTATGCCACACAAAACCAAAATTGTGAGTTGTGGCAAAGAACAAATGTGCGGTCTGGTCTGTTATTGGATTAACCGCTGATCACCGAGTTAAACAGATTTCAGGGAATTACACCTGCCTTCAATAATCTAGGACAAAGTGAGGAATAAAACGAGATCTCTTATAGTGGAGAATGTAATTCATGTTTGAGGTGTTGCATCATTGTGTTCTACAGCAAGAGATAAATTAGTAGAATGAAAATATTTTTATCTCAAAAATGCTGAAACTAAATGCAGAAATATCATGCTGACCTTCTGGTCTGGTAGATCATTAAATAGAAAACTGACCAGTGTTGAAATGCAGCTGTATCAGTGCTCAAGCTGTAACTTACAGGTGATAATGTCCTGAAGTGCTGCAGATTACATTTGATAACTTGGTCCCAGTTTAATGAGCTTTGATCTACATGGCTTCTTTCCTCTGTTCATGCATTTACCCAATCTTCTTAGGTTCGATTTTATTCATAGAAGAAATGGATCAGATTGACTTAGTTCTATGTGATAATCCACTATGAAGAGTATGTGTAAAAATAAAAATAATTAAACTAACATAGCTAAGGTGGAAACAAGGTGTCTAACTCAGCAACACTAAAACATTATTAATATAACAGCATTATGACTGCATTCTAGCTAAGGTTAATACACCATTTCATTAAGCAAAACATTTAACGTTCATCATGCCACCACATCAGACAAAATGACTTCAGAAAACATTGTCAGTGTAAGGTTCTCTAACTAATAGTTGCCCAGTAGCAATGATCGTGTATTTAACTCACTATACACACACAAGATAAGCAGCCTAAGAATTCACCTATCAGCCTATTTTGTTGGACCGTTTTAATCCATCTCAAAACAAAGTTTTATGAATACAGATTTTCACAAAACCAACTTTAAAAATAAAACTTACATATATATAGTTTGTTTCATTGGTTGCTTTAGCTATACAATAAGCTATCTCCACTCCATCCACCACAAGGAATTGAACCCTGGATTTTTGCATTGAAAGCCCAGAAACTTACCTCTGGCCTGTTGTGGGACAAAAAAACTTATAAAAACAAAACAGTAAAGGGAAACCTGTGAATTTCATAAAAAATTCACAGAAACAAACAACAACAATACAATTATTAAATATAAACTTTTCACACCTCACCCCGTGGGTACCGATAGTGAAACTTGTTCTGATCTCGAGCAGCAAACTCTTCTGGAAATTTTTCCTGAATATCTTCGTAAGTCATTTCTTCACATATTCCCTGAGAAGATGAAATATTTATCATTAAACGAAAATTTTCTTAGAGAGAGAGTACAATTTTTACTCTCCTTATTTGAACAAGTAATAATTGTATCAAAATACAAGTATATAAAATGTATATTACGTCCTACTAGCATACAGATAAATACTGCTTACAATTATGTTGTTTTTTGAAAAAATAAAATGTGCGAGTAAATGCAAAGCAATATCGTGCACATATCTTCAACATCTAAAATACACGGGTACATACTATTATTATGTATATTACTTCCACTTCCAGAAAACGTGTACATGCTGGTAACTATAGAAACCGTCTTTCATAGCCAAAAACATACTATTATTACATGTAGTCCTTCCACACCTAAAAACGTATGTGCATACTAGCATTACATACACTCTTTCCATATAAAAAAACTTGTATATATCAGTAGTATGTACACTCCTTCTGTGCTTTAAACATACTGGTATTACATAAATTATTTCATTTAAAAAAAAAGGTGTAGACACATTAGTATAACATACATTCCTTCAACATCCAAAAGTATATACGTACATTTTACTATCATGTTGATTAATTCCATACTCAAAAACATGTAGACACAATAGTATTAGGTAAAACTCTTTATAAAAACATGTAGACACAATAGTATTACGTAAAACTCTTTATAAAAACATGTAGACACAATAGTATTAGGTAAAACTCTTTATAAAAACATGTAGACACAATAGTATTACGTAAAACTCTTTATAAAAACATGTAGACACAATAGTATTACGTAAAACTCTTTATAAAAACATGTAGACACAATAGTATTACGTAAAAGTTCTTTATAAAAACATGTAGACACAATAGTATTACGTAAAATTCTTTATAAAAACATGTAGACACAATAGTATTACGTAAAATTCTTTATAAAAACATGTAGACACAATAGTATTACGTAAAGTTCTTTATAAAAACATGTAGACACAATAGTATTACGTAAAGTTCTTTATAAAAACATGTAGACACAATAATTTTACGTAAAATTCTTTATTACCATAAAATGTATACACACTAGTATTATATACATTCAAACCTTGATTTAAAAAAAAATGTACATATTTAATATATATGCATTCTTGTTTTATGTAAATAATCTACAAATTCCATGTTTTACTTGCTTCCAATTATCAACAGACCTTCTATTTATCATGCGTTTCTATTAATGATCAGATGTTCTATGTACCATGTGTTTCTATTAATGATCAGATGTTCTATGTACCATGTGTTTCTATTAATGATCAGATGTTCTAAGTTTTATGTTTCTATTAATGATCAGATGCTCTAGATACCATATGTTTCTATTAATGATCAGATGTTCTAGGTTTTATACGTTTCTATTAATGATCAGATGCTCTAGATACCATATGTTTCTATTAATGATCAGACGTTCTAGGTTTTATACGTTTCTATTAATGATCAGACGTTCTAGGTTTTATACGTTTCTATTAATGATCAGACGTTCTAGGTTTTATACGTTTCTTTTAATGATCAGACGTTCTAGGTTTTATATGTTTCTATTAATGATCTGATGTTCTATGTGTTTCTATTAATGATCAGATGTTCTAGGTTTTAAGTTTCCATTAATGATCAGATGTTCTAGGTTTTAAGTTTCCATTAATGATCAGGCATTCTAGGTTTTATATGTTTCTATTAATGATCAGATGTTCCATGTTTCATTTACTGCTGTTAATCATCAGACAATCTAAGTTTGAAATCCTTCTTTTAATCAACAGGTATGCTCTCATTAAATAGTTTCTATGACTCGTTATATACATTATAGATTTTAATTGTTTCTACTAATCATCTGACATTCTAGGATTCACTTGTTTCTTTAAGCAACAATAATTCTAGTAGGACTAGTAGGCAGCTCTCAGGATTGAAAGGCATGCTTGAATATCAAATTTAACAATCTAAACAAAAGTAGAACTTCTAACTATTACAATAATGTTTTCACTCACAAATATCTAACAGTTGATATTTTGTAACTTTGTAAAATTCATTTAGTCTAATTTGCAAAGAAAAAGTTAACTAAACCTTTACATTTATTACAAATAGATTTATATACGGTTTTATCATGTGATATTCCTATACTCTAAGGAATAATGTCTTGAGAGGCTTTTATGTCATAACAAGTAGGATGGACAGTAGCTTATATATCTTAGCTCCCAAACAAAATAGAACCAATGGCTAAACAAGATTTGATAGAAAGTAAATATTCTTGTCTATCTATGTCATTTAAATAGGGTTCACACTGGATATTAATGAACATTTTCAAGCACTTTTCCCATAGCTTATGATCTCAATTTCATGCATTCTTGCTCAAAGAAATTGCTATCAAATAATTAAAGGACATTTACGTTTGGCAAGGATCACATTACTTTGAACCAGTGAAAGACTCACTTAATAAATAAGATAAACTGTAGTCAAATATAAACATTTAATTCGTCAAAAAAAATGATATGCAACACTGAATTGTAATAAAATACAAACGTTCTCGAAAACAAGTTTGGTAATTTTGTCAATTAAATCCTTTAAATTTTTTCTAGCTTTGCCATTTAATCTTCCAATTTCTTTTTTTTTTCCTTCAAAATCTCCTCCATTTCTTCTTTCCTTTCCCATATCCTCACTTCTTCTGGGTCTCCCTTTTGTTTTTCTGCCAAGTAGACACCATGTTTCTGCTTTGCTGACTTACAAGACAGCTTCAGTTACTTGTCAATCTTCACATTGAAAACACCTTCAACAGTCTTGATGTAGTCCACCACAACACATTGAGCAACAAGTCCTATAGTGGAGAAATTATCATCCATCATCTGTTTGTTAACCGAAAAGCCTCACTCCACAGAAGCCTGGCTGTGTGACAAACACTACAAGTTTTTTTTATGACTGATCAGAATAAATCACTTGCCACAAGCTTATACTCCTTGAAGGCAAGGTGGTTTTCCTTCACCAGTCTGCAGGAAAGTCTCGGTCTGCCAAAATATCTTGTTCTTGCACTCTACCTGCTTCAAGCAGTATTTTCACAACTGTCTTGAAATGCTTCTGAGCTGTGTCTGCATCCCTTGCCATCTTTCATGGATCCAAACAGTCCATGTTCCTCATGATTCCATATTTCAATAGCCATTTATCTTGCAATTTGTTCACAAATTTTACTAAGATTTTCCTACTAAATATCTCTGTCACTAATGTTATTCTTCCTGTGAAGTAGGTTAATTATATTTTCACTGATCATTCCAACGTCCACATTTTTATACGATTTCAACACATTATTGTCATCCAAGTCAATGTTCATTATATCAATGGCATTCAGTCTCTTGCCAAGATCAATTTTGACAAACCAAGTCATTATGTCCATCATCACGTTTGTCAAATCAGTTGTAAGGAAGGGGATCAATGAGTCGTCAGTTTGATATTTATGTAAAGTCAAATCAGTTGTAAGGAAGGGGATCAATGAGTCGTCAGTTTGATATTTATGTAAAGTCAAATCAGTTGTAAGGAAGGGGATCAAAGAGTCGTCAGTTTGATATTTATGTAAAAAATCTTGCACTTGTGCAACTTAAAGCATAAAATTCAATTTTGCCTTAAAAGTCTGGTCCTTCAGGATTCCTTTTACAATTTCAAAAAACTTGTTTTTTGGATCAGTTACTTCCTACTTTTGGACAAGGCTTGGCAAATTGCTGGAACGTTTTTCAAGCCACCTGTATAAATAAAACAAAACAGTAATCTACAATAAATGCATATAATATTAGTTTTTCTGTAATATTATTATATATACAAGTATATATCTAGTAGAAATTTACTTTTAAACAGTGTACTGTTTTATCACAGTTCTGTAACTGTATGAACTTAAAACTGACTTCGCTATCAAAACTCCTCAGGCTTTTATGATAAATTGTGACAAACAAACTTTAATTCATGTAAAAGATAACACTTCAAGAGGCCTTCCAAATTCCAACTTATTATAAAATGAAACTACCTATGCTTGCAGTACTTGTGGGCTACCTCTGAGCTTCCTGTCACATGTGTGTAATCAGCCTATATAGCTAGAGCATTAGGGAATAGATGGTACACGCTACTTGGTAGATCTATTCCCCAGCCCATTTCTGCTTAGCCAACCATGAATAATGTGTAATCCACAAGAACGACAATGTAGATAAACTAGTATATACACACACATATATCAATATAAATGATATCATCAAAGTGATCACCTTAGTTATGATACACAGAGTTCTTTGAACAAGCTATAAAAATTGAACCCCATATCGAACTTTCACATCTTCAGAATTTAAAGTTTTTACTCTCCAGTAATATGAATTTTCCACAGACAACATTCATATTAAGACTTTCTATAAATGAGTCTATTAATAAAATAGGTAAAATATTTGAAACTGCATTTTACATCATTCGAAAAATAAAATATTATATGTAAAATATCGTTACCATTAAATCTTAAACCTATATAGAGTAAATGGGAAATTATATACTTACTTTCTTATATATAGGCCTACTGAAACACCGTTTCAATCAATTTGCACTTGTAATCTCTTTGCATTTTGTAAAGTTTCCAGCTGACACTTGGATCATCCACTGATAACTGAATGATATCCCTGTATGTGTCTCAATACTTTTTATCAAAAAATCCAAGATGTCTGTTGATGCTGAATGATCAGTAAAATCACTGGTAAAATATCTTGTACACACACCGTTTTCTGATTTGTTCCAAAACCGTAAGTGAATGCCCAATTGTTTAAACTGGTTCTTCTTTTATAAGCTCTCATCAAAAAGTAATGCATATTCTACTTTTTTACCTGATCCTTCTGCAGTGAAAGAAAATGAAGTACTAAACCATAGGTTGTCATGTATCTCAATTTTCTTTAAGCATAACATCATGATAGAACTATTGTGCTATCATGAAACATAACTGCAAAAAGTTTGTTTTCTTTTTGTGCCTCGTTTGAAAAATGTTTGTTGACGCAAAGTTCATAAGGCTTCAGTAGAAAATGTTTCGTCTGCCACTTTCTTTGATACAATAGAGTCTCAACCATGTGTGACTAGATTTAAAGGCTGGACAGTTAGGTCTAACATTAAAGTTGTTAGGCCTCAATTGACAGGATTCCTGGTCAAAAACAACTAGAACTTCATCTAGATCCAACGAATATTTCGTCTTTTTTGGACTCTGACCCTGTCCTACATTTCACAGTTGATCTGTCCCTTTGAAAAAAGTCTTTAATCATTAAATCTTTGGATTTGGTCATTATCTCTAGACTTTTGCAATGTTTTCCACCTTTCTGATGATTTTGAGAACTCTTTTGCCCATTCTCCCAATGACAATCACTTTCCTACAAATTTACAAAAGGACTTGTATTTGTCGGGTCCAATAGCACTCACACCACTGACAATTTACTATCAGAGCATTACTGAAAATGCATTTTCCCATTTTTAACTTCGGACGTGCTTACACGCTGCATGCTTATACACCACTGCTGTTTAGTGCCATGCATATGCATGTACCTACTCATGCTAAAACACAAAATAGTACATCAAACTAGAATAAATGGACTTGATTACAAGCAGACCTAATGATGGTCCTGTGGTTTATTTCACTAAAAATATTACTTGATTGTTTAAGTACATTTTTATATAGATCTTGAAATGGAATTTGTTTTCAAGGATTTCAAGCACCAGTGCAAACCCTGTTTAAAGTAAGTAACACTAGATAAGTTCATTAAAGCTGTAACGTATGATTACTAAAAAAGAGACTAGCCAAACTTGTAATAATCATTTTGTGTTCCATTACGTTTGTTTTAAATCTACAGAAACACTTTTATATGAAAGGGCATAAGGTTAGGATATTTAAGATTGCAAGTAAGTGTTCTGTGACAAAAAACTGTTCATACGGCATAAAAGCTCATTTATTTCTGTGTATTAGTAAATGTAGTTTTACTCAAGCAACACATATGAGAACAAGAACTCTTTATTTACTGAAAACAAACAATAATTATTAAATAAAAATTGAGCTTAACCAAAAGTATAGTTAGAAAAATATCACCTATATTAGGGTAAGTCTAGGATAGAAATGAAAGTTGTGTTTATACTAGTGAATGCTTTTACTAATCAATGTTTTATGCTATTTTTGCAGTTACATAACTGTTTCAATAGGTAAAGATAAGTAACAAATGTAAGTAACTGATGAAAATAAAATAACCAAGACCTAATGTGATATATAAAATAAAAACTTTCCGATCAATAATAGGTTAAAAACTCCACTTTTATTTAATTATTTCATATTTTTCAATAGTTTCTTAGAGATTGTACGAACAGAAGAGAAACTGAGTATGCCATTATTAGAATAATACAGACACAACAATTAGTTTGATTGAAAATTAACTACACTGGATACATTTACATGCTTTTAGACAAACAAAAGAAAAAAAACTACACAGAAACTATCATACAAAAGGAAGTATTTTTTTTATTTTTTAAACAGCATTTCAACACAAAATTTCCAAACATTCACAACCTAAAATATGATACAAATACTACACCAAATTAAATAATATTTTTCAAGTATAAGCTAAATATTATGTATAGTGTGTGTGTGTGTGTGTGTAACAAATTTCAAGGATTACTTTAAGTGTGAGAACAAAAAATAACAGCGGTGATGTAATGTCACCCATGCAGTCCTGATAGGGTTAATTGCTTCTATTAATTAACAGGAACTCTTGTGTTTTATTTTTTCATTAAATCATCAAGCATTCTAGGTTTTCAACTGTTTTTCTTTTTAAAAAGAAGCCCTAGGTTTCATTTGTTTTTAATAATCAACATGCATTCTAGGTTTCACTTGTTTTTGTTAACCATCAGACATCCAAGTTTCATTTGCTTCAATTAAACATCAGACATCCTATGGAACTTATTAGTGTATGGACTAATCTTGGAATGGGTTATAATCTCAAATAATCTAACTAAAGAAAAGCATTCTAAAGGCACATAAACTTACAGCATCTATTTCATTCAAAGCTTTCCAGCGTTCTTGTGGGGCTTCAATTCCAGAAGCTGTTTGAATTGTTCGATGCAACTGACTTGTCCAGACTCGCAAGCGTGGGATCTTTTGGTCCACTATGAACTTCGCAAGAGCACGGGAATACTGTAATAGTGCAACATTAGAAATAAGTGAAATGAATTTTCTATTTTTCTTTTAATAAAATCATCAATAATCTTAATCTACAGACTGGTGTAGTACATAAGATACGAACTGACATTCCTATTACTTTGATTTTTGATAGGCTGTTTGTAGTTGTTGCAAATCCATATCAAGAACAAATGATGCTTGATTTTGTTTGGAAATGATGTGGATTATTTGATGTTCAAATAAACTAAAAACATTGCATAAATAAACACCAAAGACTGTAAAGATTGCTTCAGAATACAATATGGCACACACACACACAGTTCATTCCTAATACTTGAGTATCAAAACATATTTTACATTTCATGATTTTTTTTCCCAGCATTGGAATACAATCTCTTCATCGAGTATAAATACTTCTTACAAACAAGCCTCAGTTTTTATGAGTAATTTATTTTGAGAAGTAATCAGATAATTATCTACACAAATGTACTTCATGAATCCCATGAGGCAACGAAACATCATGTGGTATGGTTTACAATTCTGAACATATGTATCACTTCCAATTATCGCTCGAGGTTTTAATGACATCTCGTAAATCAAAGTTATTCACTCCCATTTAAATCATTTAGCTTTTATGCTATGACATACATGTTCACCTTGTATCTCAAAATTTGTGATATATCTAACTAAAGACTCCATAAAAAAATACAGTATATTTCCATAACATGATGAAACTACAAGACACAATTAAAACAGTAAAAATTATAACAGCTGTATTCATAGTTTTTATCTTCTATAAGAACTAGAGAATTTTTTATCTAAAAGCTGTCTATATTGATGACAACACAATAAATGAGAATAGGTTCTCTACCTCCCACCCTCTCTCGGAGAGTTCAGCATCTCCACCGATACGACCTTGAAGGTTGAAGTTGCTCTCACCATGCTGGATGTAGATATTAGATCACAAAAAAATAAAGAATATAACACCTTTCAAAATTAGAAATTACTAACTACAAAACAAAAGACTACATGAAATTTATATTATTAAATTTTGGGTTGAATTTTAGTACTATAACTTTGAGTTATATATAAAAAATATATATCTAATGACCTATCAACCATATCTTCTGAGTGTCAATATTGTCATTTAACAGGAAATAAATTTATTATCTTCAAAAACATGCAGGATCAAAAGAAAAAAGCTAATGTTGGGAAAGAAACCCAACAATTTTTACCCATGATAAAGAAAAGTCCACTTTCTGAAAGTGCTCAGGTTATTGGTGTTCTTTTTGATGACAGGAAGTAAATATAGTAAAACTTGCTAGTCGGCTTTAAAAAGAATTTTTTTTATAACAAACTCAGCATTAAAGTAACTCATTAATATAACTTATGTTTGGAAAATGTACATATTTTTCCATTCAAATAAAGATGATTCATTTCTGTTAAGATACGGTATTTGTTACAATACAATTAATTTTTTTTTGCTATAAACATAAATCATAAAGTATCAATTTAAATAAACAAGCTGCTTCTTATCATAAAGCATCATTTTCTATGAAACGTACCCTGGTAAGATAAATAGAGCGTGGAGTGATATGTATGTTCATCAGATAGTAAACAATTCTACTCTGGATGTGACCTAAAGAAATTTAAAAAACAAATATAAATAACACTGCAAGTTTGAGTGTAGTATATAACTCACACCACCTCACGGATATCAACACTTGATAGATGTCTTTCATAATACTCTTGTGCCAGAACTTGAGAGTAATGTTTAAATGATTGATAAACTCAATACATTATTTTTTTATTTGGCACAGTGGTTAAATTTCATTTAAATAAATAATGAAAATAACTGATAGTTTATTAAAAAACAAAAGGTGAAATTGATGTTTTATTAAACAGTTCATTCGAAGCTACAGCTTCACTAAATATAACATTGTAATTTTCACTGAATTAATCATTAAAAAACACACAAATGTGTTAAGTGTATGCATGTTATTAAAGTCAGAAAGTTTCACCTTCGTGTCTATGAACCAGAACCTTAGCACCTGCATTGAAGATCTTCATGAAAGACAAAAGAGTTTCTTTATTCTCATTCAAACTTTCATATGTCTCTTTGTAATGGTCAATTCTCTTCATAAAGTCCTTAAGAGCTTCATCTTTGTTCATGTCTCTGTAGTCTGGACTATGAACTTTGACTTCCTAGAGAAGCATCATTGTTATCATTAATAGATAGGTGTTATGTAATCAACAGAGATAAGAAAAACAACACAGTAGAAAACTCTACAAACCTCTAATTAATTAAAATTACTTTAAAATTGTTTACAGAAAAATGGTGCGTCTGAAATGCCATGTTTACATAGGCTTAAAACCTTTCAAAATTCCCTTTTTCTTACAGTCTGAGATTATTAATATAGTGGTAAATATAGCAACATTTACTGTTAAACAGACAGAAAGTTAATAATTTTTGCATTAAAACTAACTGGTGAAAATTGTTGGACATACAAAACTGTTTAGTGTAAGAGTTATTGTTTAGTTGATTTAGTGATTAAATATTTAATGATTATTGTTTTCATAACAAGATTGTTAAAAGTTGATTAGTTTAAAAGTGATAGTTATGACAAATTTCCTTACATAACCCAATAAGAGTCATATGTTGTGCATTATAGAGTCACCCCCATAGTTTATAGAAAGTTCAAGGTCTCAGTGAACAAGAAAGCGTTAAATTGGCCGGTGTATGATTAGCTGTAACAGGCAATATTTTGAAGCAAGTTTCAGAGTTTAATAGAGAAGAATAATTTGTCTTGTCAAAGGGTGTTCTAAAGTAATTGAACCCATCT